ATATAAATAAAATCTTAATACTACAATTCATATCAAAAAAATAAAAAAAAATTGGCATTACAACTTATCTTTCACTCAATTTATGCAAACAATCATTTGTCACGTTAACAACAAAACTAATATTAAACAACACCACAAAATTAGGAGATTATATCCCAAGTAATGATAGAAGTATAAGTACTAATCATTGAAACACAATATGTAGATAGCAAAATAAATACCTATTCTTGTGTATTTTCACCTTGAAATCTTCATTCCTCACCACCATGTTTGCAAAGTATTAACTATATAAATAAAAGCAAACAAAATATTTTCAAACACAGTCCTTATAAGCAATAATATTATTTCTCTTAGTAAAACCAAAGTATCAAAAAATGGATTACATGAACCTACAAAAGTCTCATACATCCAATTTGGGCAAGCACACCACTTGTGTATGTACTAGAGGAGGAAACATCCAATTAGTGACAACAACCCCATCAACCACTTTTAAATTCCTTTAATTCATCATGATGAGCCAAATCACTTAACCCTATAATTTTAACCGAAACCCACCTTCACTAAAGACAAAATGCCAAAATTTCAACATGTTGAGACTTTAAGAGATGAATCATCTTGAAAAATATTACAATTTACACACCAAAGCACTTACTTGTGTTTCTATGCTAGGCCTATGTTCCAAGTCAGTTATGTTAACTGTTGCAAGCTTACACGAGTGCTTAGTTGCAAATCATTTTTTTTCAAACTGACAAACACACACCACAAATCGACAACTCAAACCTTAGACATCCACATAAAAAAAATTCCAATACACCCATCAATTGAGAACACAAAACACAAATATCCACATCAAAAAGAATTCAAACATTGTCATGACAATTTATCAAATAGTTGGTACGCAGGGGCTGCAAGGAAAAGGAAATGGTACTATGGGGGTGGGATTACGATGGTGAAGGAGGGAGAGAAGGAGAAAGAAAGGGAGAATAAACTAATCAGAAAAATGAAAGGGGGCATGTTTGATAGAGGAGGAGATAGTGAAATAAAGGTACCTGAAAGAAGAGGTGGTTGTCATTGGCGATGACAATCCAGCGACGCGAAGAGAGATGAGAGAAGGGGCGACTGCCGGCTGTTGAAAAAGTTGACAACTGGGGATTGGGCAGCGACATAGATAAGGAATTCAAAAGTGAGGGTGATTAGGGCATAAAAAGAGTGAGCGTCAAATAACGTCTGAAAATATTTGAGGGAGTAAGAAAGAAGATTTGAAGAATTAGTTGGGATTGAAACTGAGCACTGATTTAGAATTAGTTGGGAATTGAGATTGGGAGAGAAAGACAAAAGTGAGATTGAGATGGATTCTATGAGAGATTTTGGGGATGAGTTTAGAAGGCAGAGATACAGGCGTGAAAGATTGGGAGANCTACTTGTGTTTCTATGATAGGCCTATGTTCCAAGTCAGTTATGTTAACTGTTGCAAGCTTACACGAGTGCTTAGTTGCAAATCATTTTTTTTCAAACTGACAAACACACACCACAAATCGACAACTCAAACCATAGACATCCACATAAAAAAAATTCCAATACACCCATCAATTGAGAACACAAAACACAAATATCCACATCAAAAAGAATTCAAACATTGTCATGACAATTTATCAAACAGTTGGTACGCAGGGGCTGCAAGGAAAAGGAAATGGCACTATGGGGGTGGGATTACGATGGTGAAGGAGGGAGAGAAGGAGAAAGAAAGGGAGAATAAACTAATCAGAAAAATGAAAGGGGCATGTTTGATAGAGGAGGAGATAGTGAAATAAAGGTACCTGAAAGAAGAGGTGGTTGTCATTGGCGATGACAATCCAGCGACGCGAAGAGAGATGAGAGAAGGGGCGACTGCCGGCTGTTGAAAAAGTTGACAACTGGGGATTGGGCAGCGACATAGATAAGGAATTCAAAAGTGAGGGTGATTAGGGCATAAAAAGAGTGAGCGTCAAATAACGTCTGAAAATATTTGAGGGAGTAAGAAAGAAGATTTGAAGAATTAGTTGGGATTGAAACTGAGCACTGATTTAGAATTAGTTGGGAATTGAGATTGGGAGAGAAAGACAAAAGTGAGATTGAGATGGATTCTATGAGAGATTTTGGGGATGAGTTTAGAAGGCAGAGATACAGGCGTGAAAGATTGGGAGAAAGAGGTAGAAGTGAGATTGAGTAAGATTTGAGAGATTTCGGAGGAGAGAGAAGCGTGAGTCAGGAATGTTGTTGGACGGAAAAACAAAATTCAGTACTCACTGTAGACCGTTAGATCAAAATTTTTAAGATGATCTAAACCTTCTTTTATTTTGAGATTATGTTGTCCGTTGAATATGTTTATATTTTATCTCAAAATAATCTAGACCTCTCTTTGTCTCCAAAATTCAAACTTAACTCTACTTTATTATATAAATATTCATTACTTCAGATATTAAACTAATGCAATTGAAACATTAGAGACTAAAATTAGACAAATTTTATATTTTGAGGACCTTTATTGCAGTTAACCCTAAATTTTATTCCAAATTACTTAAATGCCCCCAATATTATAACTTGTTAAGTTTTTTGTCCATTGACTCGACTTTGGAGTGACCTAATAGTAACTTAGTCACTTCATCAATGTCTCAGTAAGTGTAAATTAAAAGTTTGAATATCTCATGGAGGATACACTCTACTAGTAATCGTTTTCAGACTTTTTTACTTGTGTAAAGAGACCATTTTATAAATAGTGTAATATTAGTTTAGTGTGTGAGTGAAAAATCGTACCACTGCAATCCACAAAAAAAGAAAAAAAAAATTTAGTATCGATCATAATTATAATACCCCGGGTAATATTGAGTCAAAAAGAATTCTCCAAAATTTCTTAATTTATTTTATTTTATTTTTGGGAAGCAGAAAAATCCACACTTTCCTAACCCTATTTGGNTAGAAAAATCCACACTTTCCTAACTCTATTTGGTTTGAAATAAAATAGGGTGGATGAAAAATAGGGAAAGGAAAAGTGGATGGAAGGAAATTTTTTTAGTATTTTGTTTGAAAGAAAAAGAGGATGGAGAAGATAATTGGAGTGAAATGTCATCCTTTCCCCGCCCACCAAATTCTTTCCCCTCAAAAGTGGGCAGAAAGTTAGGAAAAAGCTACAGACCAACTAATAAATTGTCTAATCTAACGTTTTTGCCCTTTATGCAATTCTAAAACATTGTTTCAGTACCCACTTCTATTTATCACTATTGGTCTGGTGTATTATCACGTGGTTAATGTCCCATAGATGGTTATACCACTATTTAGATGCCATAATATAATAACCAATATTTTTTTTTTTGCTTGTTCATAAGAACAAACCCATTGGAATGAGTTTGACAAAAAAAAACGTACTTGAATGAGTCATACTATTCATTGCAAGAAACATTGAGTGCTCAATATACTATTGGTAATATTATAAAGACTTAAAAATTTGATCAATTTATTGACCTAGTAATGTAACTTTATTGAATCAATAATAAATTCTAACATTTGATAGAACCCACAATCAATCTAAAAGTTTTAGAACATCTCCAACCCACTCTCTACTTCTTCTCTCTTTTAGTTACTCTAGTTAACCAAACACAAAAAATTCTCTCTAACTCACTCTCTATTTCTTAGTTAACCAAAAATGGCTCACCAAATGTGATGAGCCATTTGAACTCTCTAAATTTCCTCTCTACCTGTTTTCTCTCGCTCTCTCTCTATATATATGTTTTACTTCTTTTAAATTATTGGAAGTTAGTGAAAGTTGGGTGTAGTAGTTAACTAAAATAGAGAGTGTGGTTGAAGTGAATTTATAAAAGTGATTAGCTAAAATAGTGAATGTAATATTTAAATACATTTTGACTAGTTATTTTAAAAAAGAGGGTTAAAGATGTTAATTAAGTCACAATAGTATTGCTCATATATTATAAGGATGGTAAGGGTAGAAAAGTAATTTTCACATACATATTTTTCTTTCATTTAATTTTTCATTCAATGATGAAAAATAAATCTCTTACTTTCCATTCCAAAAATATATTTCTTTCCTCTATTCGTCCTATTTTGACGTCAGGGTTTGTTTGTTTAGAAGGAGAATGGTAAAAAATACAAAAAAGAGAAATTTTTTAAAATTTTCATGTATTTGGTTAGCATGAAAAAAAAATAATAGAAAAAATAATTTTCTTTCATCATTGAATTTTTTCACAAATAACTAATTTTTTTTTCTTGTAAAAAACACAAGGAAATGCAAGAAAGTTATGATCTATAACTAATATCCCATTTTATCCTTATTTTTCTTAAAATATTTTATTAGTTATTAATTTTTAAAAATTTTGGTATGAATTTAATTAATTATATAATTTAGCCCAAAGTCCTTTGTGTTAGTGATTGTCTTATAATTAGGTTTCAAATTACTTTTTAAAAAAATTTAACTTTCAATTGTAATTACATATTTTTTTTTCCTTTTTAGACCGATTTAATATACTTAAAAATAATTTAGACAATTATAAAAAAATTCTTATAATTTTACTTTATTTCAAACAATAGAATAAAATTGTTTTAAAAATTTCCTGTAAATTTTTCATTATAATCAATTGCATGCATAAAAATATATTTTCTATTATTTTATTTTATTTTACTTTATTTTTTATCATTTTGCCTTTCTATTATTTTTTTTCTAATAAACCAAACGAACGCTCGATCTTCCAATCAAATATCCCATAAATAAAACTATTAATTTTGGTTTACTCGCAGAAAAAAACATTCCTGAAAACAGACGTGATCCAGCTCACTCCTTAATGGTGGTCTCTCACCGCCTCTAGAGTCTAAACCCTTCATCGTCGGTTTTTTCCCCGCTAATTCTCTATCCTAACGTCAAAGACAACGCAGAGAAATCCTAGCTTTCATCTCTACCTCTTTCCACACTCACCCGATCGAAAACCTGAGTTATCGTGATTGTGAACCCGGCAATGGCCACAGTCACTTCCAGAGATATTCAAGAGATCGTATTGAAGCTCTCGTCCGATAAAGCCAAAGCTCGAGAAGTAACCTCTGATTCTCACTTATTTTCTTTCGCCTCCGTTTTTTGGCCGAGAAATTGTGGAAAAGATACCACAAAACATGCCACTATAAATCTTTTGTATTCTTTCAATTTGAAAAAAAGGATTCATTCGAACACATGCAACTTAGGTCAAATTACTTTAGTTTTTAACCTGTTATAATTTGTTTGCATTTTTTGGCAACTAGGTGGAGAGTCTGTGTGATTACATATTTGTTGGTTTTGGTTTTGATTAATGAATTTAGGAAGGGATTAAATTGTTGAGTACCTGGCTAGAAGGGGAAAGATCGGTCGGATTTTGTAAATATATCCGACAGAACACTGCAATGCTTAAGCCTAATGAGATACCTCACTGTAAGACTCTACCCCCTTTCTTTTTCGAGATATCTAAATACATGTGTGCGCGTGGTGTACGTTTGTTATATGTGTATGCAGTGTGGTAACTGATATAAAGTTGAGAATTGAATTTATTTACGCAGCTGAAACGTGGCCCTTTCTCATTCCATTACTCACTAAATGTGTGTCCTTGGAGATATCTGCGAGCAAGCGTCGTGTGCCCAAGTTAATTTTTGCAAAGACTCTTCGAATTGTAGTTCAGCGAGCAGAGGATGCTAAGTTTTCTGGTTAGTGTTTGATGGTCATAGTTGTTCAATTAGTTACTTGGTACATATCTTAATGCAATATAAAGTGGGAAGGCCATTGTGCCTTTACCCTCTACCTTGGACAAAACATATGCCTCGNTCTGATTCTCACTTATTTTCTTTCGCCTCCGTTTTTTGGCCGAGAAATTGTGGAAAAGATACCACAAAACATGCCACTATAAATCTTTTGTATTCTTTCAATTTGAAAAAAAGGATTCATTCGAACACATGCAACTTAGGTCAAATTACTTTAGTTTTTAACCTGTTATAATTTGTTTGCATTTTTTGGCAACTAGGTGGAGAGTCTGTGTGATTACATATTTGTTGGTTTTGGTTTTGATTAATGAATTTAGGAAGGGATTAAATTGTTGAGTACCTGGCTAGAAGGGGAAAGATCGGTCGGATTTTGTAAATATATCCGACAGAACACTGCAATGCTTAAGCCTAATGAGATACCTCACTGTAAGACTCTACCCCCTTTCTTTTTCGAGATATCTAAATACATGTGTGCGCGTGGTGTACGTTTGTTATATGTGTATGCAGTGTGGTAACTGATATAAAGTTGAGAATTGAATTTATTTACGCAGCTGAAACGTGGCCCTTTCTCATTCCATTACTCACTAAATGTGTGTCCTTGGAGATATCTGCGAGCAAGCGTCGTGTGCCCAAGTTAATTTTTGCAAAGACTCTTCGAATTGTAGTTCAGCGAGCAGAGGATGCTAAGTTTTCTGGTTAGTGTTTGATGGTCATAGTTGTTCAATTAGTTACTTGGTACATATCTTAATGCAATATAAAGTGGGAAGGCCATTGTGCCTTTACCCTCTACCTTGGACAAAACATATGCCTCGCCCTAATGACTGTCTGTAACTTGAACAATTGATTCTGCTAAAAAGCAATTGACTCTGCTGGTGCAATTTTTTTTATTATCATTGTCTGAATCATGTTATACACCATTCCTCATTGTGGTCATGGTTGCATTGGGTAACGAACAGAGACTTGGGTGCACATACTGTATCTTTTATTCATTGGTTCATCTGTTAACTTTTAACCAAAAGTATGGTGCTATATGCTGTGGAGTTTTCTGAAATTAATATAACCCACCAACCTCTAATGGCTGGGGCAAAACACAAATAAGTACCAATGCAGTAGCAAAGGAACCAAACTTCTGGATTCTAATTCAACAATTTAGGGCTTGAAGTTCTATGCTTAGTTCATGCTTTCTGTAATAATCAAGAAAATATTGAGCAAGTATTAATGGTAAATTGAACGGTAGTTCTATTATTTAAGGAGCTTCAGAATCTAATCGGTGTTATCTACTTGCCCATTCATATTGGTGGCTTTATTCTGTTGGGTTTTCATTGTTGAAATTCCCAAACAGCATAATAGATACCTTTTCATATGTTAATTTGGTATTTCGTGGGCAACCAAATTGAGTTGGTAAGCTTTATATTGGAAAAAGTTAATTTCTTTATGTAAAATTTTTTTATCCTGAAAAATCTCATTCTGTAATACAATCATTATCTGGCAGGCAAGGGTATGCTTCTATTACCTGTGGCTAAACTTCTTTTCAACCACATCTGGGATGTTCTAAAGGATGTCCCAAGTTTTCAGTCTGAGTACGGGATTATTCTCCGGCATCTTTTGGCCTTAAGACACTATCAATTTCACATGAGGAAGCGAGTCTACTGTAGTGAGCATCCTTTATAATTTTGAATCATGGCCATTATGTAGCCCTTAATGGTATAGAACATCATAAATTTTCCATTTCTTTCTCATTCTCATTTTTTTGGTCAGGTCTGGTGCTTCTATACATGGAAAAGGTGGAAACAAACTTGAGTGGGGAAAGTAGTGCCCAATTGAATCCCAAAGAGGAGGTCTTTCGCTGTATGCTGACGCTGCATTCGCTTCTTGAAAATCCTCCTGGAGATTTTCCTGATGATCTACGAGATGACATTGTCAAGGGATTTGTTGGAATTTTATCTTATGTAAGGTAAAACATGTAAGAAACCCTGATTTTAGTTTTCCGCCTACTGACACAACTTTGGATATTGAAATTCTGTTTGGCAATCTCCGTCCCTGTCATTTTCAGGGATGAAGGAAAGATTTCACGCAAGCTAATTGAGTGCATCAACACATATTTGTTGAGGGATGGGCCGAATTTGGGTGGTCAGTCGCTAGAAATCCATGATGTTGTGAAGCAATTTCTGTTCCGTTGTTGGATAACCACACATGACCGAAGTTTAAAGGTTCGTAAATTTTTCAATGTATAGTAATGCATTGTGTCTATACACTTGAAGTGTTTTTATTTTCTACACGGCTCTTTGCAGGATTCCCTTGTATTGTATGCAAGGTTACAGTTGAATTTAACCAGGGGTGCTTCTGATGGGAGTGCTCTGTTGGAGCAGCTTCTGGATGTAATAGGCAAGGAACTAGATCAAATCAGTACTTCTTGTACCAATGCACCCTGGTGAGCTTTTGCTTGTATTTTGTTTTCTTTTGGGGTGGTGTGGAGTGTTTCATTAAATATGCATCTTGTATCAGGAGTGAGACAACCAGGGATGACAAGGGCGGAACCTTGACAAGCTCACAGTATGGTCTGGTGGAACTTGCTGCCCTTGTCTTTTGTCGGGTACTTGTTCTTGACATTTAGTCTTTGCCCTTAAGCCTTCTATATGATGCTGTGTCTTTTTCTTCTTTGTTATTTTTTGCTTATTAAAATTTGACCTGAATTTTCGACAAGTAATTTTAGGGATCAATCACTTCGAGTTTTTGGTGATTCTTAATTAATAAACTTGGTTGTAAAACTGGAATTCCTTTAATTTCCTGTACTTAGCACTATGTTTGGTATGGGTGAAAATTGGTAGGAAAGAAGGTGGATGTGAAAGGGACCCTAAACCTTTTCTTGTTGGATATAAAAGGTGAAAGGAAACTAGAGAGTGGATTCACTTTCCCATTGAGCCCACATAAGTGGATTCGTTTGTACGTGCAATGAAAAGTTAACATTGGTTTCTTTTCAAAACTACATAAATACGGTGTTTTTTTTACNAACTAGAGAGTGGATTCACTTTCCCATTGAGCCCACATAAGTGGATTCGTTTGTACGTGCGATGAAAAGTTAACATTGGTTTCTTTTCAAAACTACATAAATACGGTGTTTTTTTTACATTATTTAGATAAGGTCATCATAATAAAATGATACATTATTAGTTTCTTTCACCTTTCTTATGTTCTTGTTGTAGAAATTATCATAGAGGAGGTGAGGTAGTCCTTCCCTTCTCGTTATCTCTCCCATCTCTCTCCCTATTGAAGTTTAAACACTTATGTGACACCCACCCAACCGTTTAAGTTTTTAGAATAGATGACGGTCTAACATTCTATGCTGGCAATTAAAACTATTTTAACGTGTTTGGCCCGAAATCAAGCCGCCATCGCTATGTGAGGGGTCACTAAGAAGTATTTCACCTCTCCGATTGCTTAATCTTTTGGAGTAGATGGTTGTTTAATACCCCTTCCTCTTTTCCTTTCTTTCCATTTTCCTTCTCCCCATAACAAACATCATGAAAAGGTTGTTTACTTGTTATATAATGAGGCCTTTTAATAGTTTAGCACATAGAGTAGGCATTCTCAGTTTTCCTGTCATAGCAAGAATTGAGAAGGCAAAACATTGTTGCCGTTAAGACTTCTAAATATATAGTAAGGTCATTGATTATTGTGATTTGGCTTTTTTAGGCATGCATCAATACATTAAAACCACCACAACATGAAAAAAGAGCCAGGACAGAGCATGCTGCTGTTTACATAAAGGAAGGTCTGGCAAAAGGGAAATGGTTATGGTAAGATTTGAACTTGAAGTATTTGGCTTTTATTTTTGTGTCTTGGGATGGTATGTCATGTGTGGTTTCTCTTACCCATGAGTAGATTATCAACCACTAGTATGTACGAGCTTGGAGCATGCATGATGTGAATAGCTTGATACTCAATTGTTAATGATTAATCAAGTGTGTTGGACCTGAGCGTCAAGGGGTTTAGTCGGGGAAACAACCTCTCTGCATGTGGGGGGGTAAAGCTACATATATTTGACCCTCTCCGAACCCCGTGGTGGAGGGAGCGAGAGGGGAAACAACCTCTCTCCATGCAGGGTAAAGCTACATATATTTGATCCTCTCCAGACCCCGTGGTAGCGGGAGCGAGAGGGAAAACAACCTCTCTGCATGTAGAGGTAAAACTACATATACTTGATCCTCCCCGGACCTTGTGGTGGCTGGAGCAAGTATCGTGTACTGAACCACTTTTTTTTTTCCCGGGTTATATTTAAAGACTTTTTGCAAAAGTTTTTTTAGAGTAATAAATCTAGTTTTTGCATCGTAAAAAATGGATCAAGCGATTAGTAAGCGTTCTCTCTCTCCCTCCCTCTCTTCTTTTTCCTCCCTTAATTTGTTGGGGCTTCAATTTGTTTAGGAATTTGAATAAAGAGAAGTTGGTGAGTTGTCATTTCTTTTGTGCATTCTTGTTAATCTGGTTCTGAGTCTATCTTCCATGGATAATAGGAAATGGATCATTTCTTAATCAAGGGAGTTTCCTTTCTTTGAGTCTTTGATCGATTAGACAAATATTTCAATTTTGAGCACACAAACATGATTTGAAAGTGTCCAACACATCTTTAAAGGTTCAAGTATTTGCNCGTAAGTCTTTCTTTGAGTCTTTGATCGATTAGACAAATATTTCAATTTTGAGCACACAAACATGATTTGAAAGTGTCCAACACATCTTTAAAGGTTCAAGTATTTGCGTGGCTGCTTCACTTAAATAAATTAACACTAATGAGATGATCTAAAGAACAATGTGTTATATTTTCTTCACCTGCAATGTTGTATCCTTTGTAATTGTGCGGCGGAGTGTATGGATCATTTATTTCATATTGCTCATTTGTCGCAAACTTATGGAATAGACTTTTGGCGATTCTTGGGATCCCTTGGGTAATTTCACGATAGTGTGATTTGGTACTTATTATTGATTTGAAGGGTTTTGGGCCTTTTGACTCAAGTAATAGAGCTACAACCTTTAGGGGATGTTTTGCATTGGCCTTGCTAAGGTGGTATGGTTGGAAAGAAATGAAAGGTTTTTTGATGATTGGCAGGTTACTTTGGAAGACTTGTGGGACAAAAAATTGTCTTGCATATCTTTGGGCTTTACCTTCAAAGGACTTTGAAGGGGCTCTGATATTTCTAATGACGGATCATTGGGCAAAAGTGTGTGGAGACAACTTTTTTTTGTTTCTTTTGTTTTTTCTCTATTATCAGTTTTTAACTTTTTCTTTAATTTTCGTAACCTTTAGAGGGCTCTCTATCCTCTCATGTACTCTTTTTCTTTAGTTTCATTTATAATATCCATTGGTTTACTATCAACAAAATTTGGGACACGCCTGCTTTTTAAAGTTTCAGTTCTAGTAACTAGCAGATTAAGTAGTAAATAGATAAATAGATTCATGCCGGCACATGTCCATCAATGATGGTTCATTAATGCACGATTCTTCTTTGAACCTCCTGATAATCTGGTATGTATTGGCCCTAACTGAAGATTAGGTCCACCTGACAACAAATAAATGTGTGCCCTATTGCAGTTGTCATCGGACTTCTACCTCTTATAGTTTTTTGCTTTGTTTTATTTTTACATCTATTCATTATTCGTTGTCTTTGTAGTTGAGATCTTTCACCATTTTCTTCATTTTTAATACTGGCAATGCACAATGTGCGTTAAATAATTTAAATAATAATTTTTTTGTTGAATCTATGAAAATTTAAATTTTATGTGTAATTCTATTAAATGAAAAATTTGATGTCAAAAAATTAATCTATATTTTATTTCTTGTTAAACCTAATTATCAAATTTTTTTTACATATAACACATATGTGATCTTAGGATTCAATTTGATAACTATATGTATATAACAATATAATATAGATTCGTGCTTCTTCATATAGATATAGGAATCGATAAAAAAAAAATTATGTAAGTGTACTACTTATAAATGAGTCCAGAATTATTTAGAAGTCAAATATTACTTGTAAAAGAGTTCAAAAAAACTTGAAAGTCAANGTGATCTTAGGATTCAATTTGATAACTATATGTGTATAACAATATAATATAGATTCGTGCTTCTTCATATAGATAGAGGAATCGATAAAAAAAAAAATTATGTAAGTGTACTACTTATAAATGAGTCCAAAATTATTTAGAAGTCAAATATTACTTGTAAAAGAGTTCAAAAAAACTTGAAAGTCAAATTACGTATAAAAACAAAAATTATATGAAAGTATACGAATATAATTAATTCTTTGTTAAATTTATAAAAAATATAAATTATGTGTAATAGNCGTCAAGGGGTTTAGTCGGGGAAACAACCTCTCTGCATGTGGGGGGGTAAAGCTACATATATTTGACCCTCTCCGAACCCCGTGGTGGAGGGAGCGAGAGGGGAAACAACCTCTCTCCATGCAGGGTAAAGCTACATATATTTGATCCTCTCCAGACCCCGTGGTAGCGGGAGCGAGAGGGAAAACAACCTCTCTGCATGTAGAGGTAAAACTACATATACTTGATCCTCCCCGGACCTTGTGGTGGCTGGAGCAAGTATCGTGTACTGAACCACTTTTTTTTTTCCCGGGTTATATTTAAAGACTTTTTGCAAAAGTTTTTTTAGAGTAATAAATCTAGTTTTTGCATCGTAAAAAATGGATCAAGCGATTAGTAAGCGTTCTCTCTCTCCCTCCCTCTCTTCTTTTTCCTCCCTTAATTTGTTGGGGCTTCAATTTGTTTAGGAATTTGAATAAAGAGAAGTTGGTGAGTTGTCATTTCTTTTGTGCATTCTTGTTAATCTGGTTCTGAGTCTATCTTCCATGGATAATAGGAAATGGATCATTTCTTAATCAAGGGAGTTTCCTTTCTTTGAGTCTTTGATCGATTAGACAAATATTTCAATTTTGAGCACACAAACATGATTTGAAAGTGTCCAACACATCTTTAAAGGTTCAAGTATTTGCGTGGCTGCTTCACTTAAATAAATTAACACTAATGAGATGATCTAAAGAACAATGTGTTATACTTTCTTCACCTGCAATGTTGTATCCTTTGTAATTGTGCGGCGGAGTGTATGGATCATTTATTTCATATTGCTCATTTGTCGCAAACTTATGGAATAGACTTTTGGCGATTCTTGGGATCCCTTGGGTAATTTCACGATAGTGTGATTCGGTACTTATTATTGATTTGAAGGGTTTTGGGCCTTTTGACTCAAGTAATAGAGCTACAACCTTTAGGGGATGTTTTGCATTGGCCTTGCTAAGGTGGTATGGTTGGAAAGAAATGAAAGGTTTTTTGATGATTGGCAGGTTACTTTGGAAGACTTGTGGGACAAAAAATTGTCTTGCATATCTTTGGGCTTTACCTTCAAAGGACTTTGAAGGGGCTCTGATATTTCTAATGACGGATCATTGGGCAAAAGTGTGTGGAGACAACTTTTTTTTGTTTCTTTTGTTTTTTCTCTATTATCAGTTTTTAACTTTTTCTTTAATTTTCGTAACCTTTAGAGGGCTCTCTATCCTCTCATGTACTCTTTTTCTTTAGTTTCATTTATAATATCCATTGGTTTACTATCAACAAAATTTGGGACACGCCTGCTTTTTAAAGTTTCAGTTCTAGTAACTAGCAGATTAAGTAGTAAATAGATAAATAGATTCATGCCGGCACATGTCCATCAATGATGGTTCATTAGTGCACGATTCTTCTTTGAACCTCCTGATAATCTGGTATGTATTGGCCCTAACTGAAGATTAGGTCCACCTGACAACAAATAAATGTGTGCCCTATTGCAGTTGTCATCGGACTTCTACCTCTTATAGTTTTTTGCTTTGTTTTATTTTTACATCTATTCATTATTCGTTGTCTTTGTAGTTGAGATCTTTCACCATTTTCTTCATTTTTAATACTGGCAATGCACAATGTGCGTTAAATAATTTAAATAATAATTTTTTTGTTGAATCTATGAAAATTTAAATTTTATGTGCAATTATATTAAATGAAAAATTTGATGTCAAAAAATTAATCTATATTTTATTTCTTGTTAAACCTAATTATCAAATTTTTTTTACATATAACACATGTGATCTTAGGATTCAATTTGATAACTATATGTGTATAACAATATAATATAGATTCGTGCTTCTTCATATAGATAGAGGAATCGATAAAAAAAAAATTATGTAAGTGTACTACTTATAAATGAGTCCAGAATTATTTAGAAGTCAAATATTACTTGTAAAAGAGTTCAAAAAAACTTGAAAGTCAAATTACGTATAAAAACAAAAATTATATGAAAGTATACGAATATAATTAATTCTTTGTTAAATTTATAAAAAATATAAATTATGTGTAATAGAACTAAATAAATAAATTATGTGTCGGAGAATTAATTCTTATTTTAATTTTACTAAACCTAGTTATTAATCTGTACATTTTTTATATAGTGATTTGAATTACCAGAGTTATTATTGTAATTAAAGACCTAAAGATATAAGAATAAGTAGAGCGAATGGTTAGAGATCTACTGCTATACGATAAGAAAAGTTTTGATAAGTCATGGAAGGAAAAATGATGACATTAATAAGGATATGTGAGATATGATTGACTTAACATTATTAAATAGGGATGAAATAGGAAATCAAATTTTTTTCACATATGCTGACATTTATAAGTAGTATAGATTGTAATGAAACCTTCATTCATAGAATCCATTGGCAGAGAAGACGAGCATAAATAAATCTTACAAACACAAAGCAAAC